CCATGACTATTTCGACGACCTTGTGTTGGTTCAAGATGAATTCGATCGGCATCAGTTGGAGTCCATGCTTAAATTAAAACCCATTTTTTCTTAAAAGAATATAACTTCATTCTTCTACTTACTATCAACTGTTTTAATAATAAAATCTTCTGGTGGTGAATATGGAACTACACGATGAAGAAAAAACACACATAAGAATGAAATAAAAGATATTCATAAGACTAAGACTAACTTAAGTTAAATAAATTACTATCAACTAATGCTGATCCAAGTGCAACACGTGGTTGTTTTGATGGAATACCCGAATCACTTTGAAAAAAAGATGAAATTTAAATCTTTTCTCGAAAAAAAAATCATATAAAATAACTTACGTAAGTATTGGAATATTTTCTTTATCGATACGATCGAATACTGGTCGTTTACGTGTTGATCCTGATAAGAAATTTTGTAAAGATGATATACTAAAAATTTACAATAAACAAAATAATTTATTAATTTTACAAATAAATATTTCGTTTTACTTCATAATGTTGATACTTTAATAGCTGTTAATAATATACGATAATGTTGAATCTGTTCTATTCGGAACAACACATATGACTAGTTTAGTTAACTGGGCGTTTATATAGAGTACGGGGGATGACCATAATAATGGCGGACGTCCATGTAACACAAGAAACAGAAAGACATTCGTCCGTATGTAGGTATTTACACTATTCCTTTGTAAACGATAAACAATAGAGAATGTTTCTCGATTCGACGAGATAAAAGGTATATATGTATGAAGTATAGATATAATAGAAATTTGTTCTAAATAATTCATGAAATTAAGGTCAAATGTTCTTTTTCGAGAAGTTGAAAATTTAAGTTATATAGAACATTATATTGATTTATCAAGTATTTTTATTTAAAGTAAAGTATATAATGATATGATCTAAAGACTTTAATGTAATTCTACAATTGTTAGTTGTACTAATCATATCGCCTTAGACCGTTATATTGCATAAAAAAAACGAAGAAAAATGTATAAATAAAAAGATACACATACACCAGAAAATAAAAGATTCGAAAAGTTTATGGTTTACAATTTAGTTTTTAAAAAAATGTTGTATCTTCGGAGAAGGCACCACATAATCGAAATTCATCTTGTGCTAACATACAATACATTCGCTGTGGGGATGGTCTTGAACGTGATTGAGATGGACGAGCTATTGATGCACGTAGAATATATTCTTTACCAGCTGGTGTCATAAATTGATTTTTAACGTCTGATAGATCATTATTACTACCCTATTAATATATATATATATATGTAAAATTAATGGATATTAATAAATTTGAAATTTACTTGAGTTGATAAAGGTTTAGATGTAGCAAATAGAGATGCTAATTTTTTTCCTAATCGACTATTTGCAGCACCTTTGACAGGCATTTCAGGACGTGTATGTAATTCTATTGCAAATCGTGTCATTTCTTCCTAGATAAAACATAAATTTAATTATTTTGCGACAAATAAAAGAAATTTAAAGAACTTTTTCTTGTTGATTAAGATCTGAAGGAAAAAGTTTTTCTTTAAATGATTGAAATCGGCACATATGTTGTTCAATAACTGTCAGACATTCAATATAATCCTGAAAATAACTTACAATATATGTATAAATAATTAATTTTCTTTACTTGTTGTAATTTCTTTTTTCGTTCATCTTTTCCTTTAACAAGAAGAACTGATTTAGCATAAAATGTTTCAAATAAAACTGATGAATTTTGTTCTTCCATATCTTCAACTAAACAGAAAAAAAATCTATTATATAATTAAAGATAAAATATTTGTTAAATACTATTTTTAGTTATGCGGTCATAGACAACATGTAAAAGTACAGGTATTAATTGTTCAAGAATTTCACCAGGTGATAGTGACGATAATTTTTGAAGAATCTATCAAAAAATAAATTTCGTTTAAATGAAAATAGAGATTAATATCTAAAAACTTTTTCAGCTTCTTTTCCGTCGTCGAACAATCGTTTTTGACGGCGAACAGATATTGGACGTGCTTGTTGCCATACTTCCATCCATAAATTATCTGGTAATTGCATACGTTGACTCAGTGAATAAGATTTTTGCATATTTCCATCTTTATCGATTTCTTCGATTTCAATCCAATCACGTGGGGAATACCATCGAACGAAATCTTCTATTGTACCTAATGGATTTGCTGCCTAAAACAGGATCGAATTGTATTGTAACGTTATTTCATCTTAAATTACCTTAAAACTTTCCATATCAGATAGAAGTGATCGACTTTGCATTTTCGCACGTAATAATGTTGCTTCTTCACCAGAACCTAAACTAGTTAATACAATTGTCTGTTCATCAAGCATATCTTCTGTTGCTGGTGGACATTCCTAAATTATTCTATAAGATTTGATTGAAAATATAAATTAATTACCTGAGTAATAGGTATATAGAGAATATCATTTGAATAGAGTAATTTTAAATCACCACATGGTTTAAGACGACCGTCAGGTTGTAATTCTGATAGATTAGATTTTGATAGTGGAACTGTTGATGAACATTCATAAAATTCATCACCATCTTCATCTAATTCAGGTTGCGGTTGTGGCTGTGGTGGTGGTGATTCTTCAACAGTCGTTGTATCATTTTCATGTCGTAAACGATGTTCAATACAACAATTAAGCATTTGTAAATTTTGATAAAATTTTGAAAATGATAAATTAGGTGAACCAGATTCTAATCTAAAAGTTTATTCTATTAGAAATTTTTGATTAGAAATTATGTTATTTACCCAGGAATTAATTTTCCTGTTTCCCAATGTGTACGAAGTTCTTGTACAACATCAAACCATATATGAGCAATTGAACGAAGATGATTATATGAAGGTAAACTACAGATCGCAGCAAAACATACAACTAGACGATAGACAAAACTATCTTTTGGTACTGATTTTAATTGACGTATTCGTTCCGTATTTTCTGGATATTCTTCAACGAGGGATCGTTGTCTTGATAATGTTGGACGTTCATTGAAAAGATACTGAAATATATATTCGATATTAAATTATAAAAAATAAATACTATTTACTTCAATCGTTTTTTCTACAACACTTGGAGGTAGTGGGGGATTAAATATATTAACACGTAATCTATTTGTTGTATTCGAAATTGATGATGAAAACGATGTCCAATATTGTTGTGTACGACTATCAGAGATTCTTTTTATTGGATCAGCCATATTTGTTGAATTATTTGTTGGTTCTAAATAAAACATTCATTGAACATATCTTATTTTTTTTAATATTAAATAAATCTGATGTATATGGAGCAAATTATTTTTTTAATCTTACTCACGAGATTTATTCGGTTTATTTCGTCTGTCTGAAAATTATTCAAATATGTTTACTTTCTTAACCTATTCTTATTAATTAATATCCTTATGATAAAAATTCGAAATTACCATCATTAGTTTGAATTTTACCAAGTAATTGTTCGATTGATTCACGTTGAGTTGATAATTTTAAATATTCTTGAACAGCTTCAGTAAGTAACACAGGTAAATCATCTAATAAAGTAACACCGATAGCCCATTGTTGAGAAAGTAATGGATCAAAATCATTACAATCATCATTTTCAGTAACAAGTTCTTCGGAAAATATTGGCCATGTACATGAAAGATGAAGACCACTGACAGGATCATAAAGAGATCCAAATGGAAGATCAGTTAATACTGGCATGCCTGCTTCATCTCGAGGTAAGGCTTGTCGACTTGTAGTTGATTCAAATTCTTTTAATACATAAGTAAATCGAACAGCAACCATAACAATTGTATCATTTGAAATATTCGCACCCTAATACATATAAATTAATTTAAAGATAAACAAAGAAAAGTATATATACTAATTTTGATTTAAATATTTCTAATAAGCCAGCTAAGTGTCTATACTGATGTGGAGCATTTTTTAAATGACATATATTAAAATGTGTTCGAAGACCTGATCCTTCACATAGACCGATAAACATATTACGCCATTCATGTTGTACACGAATAAATATGGGTACATTACTAGAAAACAAATAATGAATTCTTTCGATAAACAATCAAATTAATTTTTTCACCATCCCACATTTGAAACAGCAATAGCTGTTGAACTGAGTAAAAGATTAGCACGATCTTCATCTGTCACAGCATCATTATTACGTTTCGGCGCGAGAATAATAAATTCTCGTAGACCATACCAATGCGATAAATATCTAAAAATAAAATATATTAAATCAGTTTTTCAATATTTTCAACCTTCACCCATCATCATCCCTTAAGACAGACTATGAATTACTATTGATATATATTATTATCATACTCGTAGCATTATAGAAGTTATAGGCATTTAGTACTCACTTTTTTGGCAGCACGATACTAAACAACATAATTATTAGTAAATGAGCAGAGACTAAGAGAAAATCATTGCGCTCTTTTTAGCCTCAAAGGATTTACACTGACAAGCTTCTCTTCTTTTATATAGATAATAGAACATACGGTGAACGAGATGGAAAATCATTTCGTCTTGACATCATATCAGCCATTGCTCTTGGTGGAATAACTAAATAAATTTAATCAAATAAATTTAAAAAAATCATATTTTTTTCTATACATGTTTGTTTTTCAAACGATACTGATGTTGTCATTTGTGGATTAATCTCTGTAGTTGATAATGAATTACTTTCTGGTATTTGTAATGAAAAATGTGTGATAGTGTAAGAATGATCTCCAAATTCAAGTGCTTCGTTATGTTCAATCCATTCACCATCAGCAAAATCAACCTAATAATATTCAATAAAACAAAGATTTGAATACAATAATTCATCAAACTTCAGTATTGGACATTTCAGGACCATTTAATTTCCATTCTGAAAGAATTTCTTCTATCCTTGCAATAAATCTATGAAGAACAATATAAATTCAAATTCAAAGCTTTTTATTTTATTTTACCGTTCCCAATCCGAGGCTGTAGTATAATCTACTATTTCAAATATATCTTCATCTTCTTTAACAGTTGTCATTTTTATTTATATATCTACAGGGTTTTAGTGTTATTAATCTAAAACTGTATTGAAATAGAATTTTATTATCAAAAAAAAAACAAATAGTCAAATTACAAAAATATTATTAATAATTTCAATTACTTAATTATATAACAAAAACTATACATATAGGAATGAAAAATAATTCTATTAGAAGACTTCATATTGCATTCGACATAAATGTTTGGAATAATTATCTGAATAGATGTAAATATTTGATTAAATCTTCATATATAATGAATACGTTTAAGTTCAGCTGCTTTTTCTATAATTTTGTGGATGTCAGTATCTGGTGGATAATGCTAAAAATTAAATTTTTTGTAAAACATAATTACAAAATAGATTCAACAAACTTGTAATAATTTAATATTTTGTGAATAATCTCCATTTAAAATTTGATCTCGTTGAAGACTAAAACATGATGAAAATTTTTAAGTATTTGAAATAATCTAGATATACATACGTAACCATAGCACAACAAAAATAGAGTAAAAATTGAAAATTTTGATCTTGATCAGCAAAGAATGAATCCCATATACGTAAAACATCTGGTAAATGAAATTCTTGTGAAAGTAATAATGTTAACCAACGAAATGCATAAAATTCTGGTTTTAATTTTTGTTTATCCAATAATTCATAGACTTCATTATCAATTTTTTTTAATAATGATAAAAAATTTTGCATACGTCCAAGTATACCAAATTCTGAATTATCATAAATTTTCATAAAATTATCTCGAAGATGTGTCATTAAACTTGTAAAACAATAAAATGTATCTGCTTCAGCATGTTCTAAAAAAGAAAAAAAAGATGATCACAAATATTTTCGTATTCATCCCGTCCTTACCTCTCCATTCTATATTTGGATCTGTAGCAAAAGTATAATAAATTGGTCCAATAATTTCATTCATGCCTTGTGTATAACCTTGTCCAGAATTAAGTTTTGAATAAACAAATAAAATTCTTTCAACAACTTCCCAATGTGCTTCACATCCGTTATCTAATACTTCATATTCGCTATTATCATTTCTTATACTTTGTTGTAAAGAATTATTTGATTGAAATTCTAATCGACCAGTTAAACGTGATTGAGAATGGGATTCAACTTTAAGTGATGTTGATACAATACGTTTACGTAAACTTTCAAAACCAACTTCTTGATTCATTATTTCAGCACATGGATAATCTGTTTGACGTTGGAAAAATGATAAATCTGGACAAAGACGTCTATTTCAAAAGAAAATAATTAAAAAGATTTCATTTATGTGATTTCGTAACATACCGAACATCTTTATCAATTTGTAGTAATATTTCATTCTCTTTGAAATAAACTGCCCAGGAACTATTTGGTGCAGAATTTAAAGGCTAAATATGAAAATAAATGTTTGAAAAAAATATATTTATTTAAATAAATAACGAACATGATCAACAATATTTGATTGAGGTGATGATGCAAGACCTGGTTGTATGATAGTTTCTCGAATATAACCACGATATAAATCTCTGAATATAATTTCAAAAATAAATTAACTCTTAATTATTTAATTGGTACCGTTGTTTAGATAGATGTGATGACCATTTTGTTTGATCAAGTAGAAGATAATTCAATAGAATCTATGTGTTTATTTTAGATTAAATTTAATATTTGTATTAAGTTTGTTTTTACCTTCCATGTTAAACTACGAATACCATTATCCGTTGGACAACCTATGAAGAAATAAAACTCCGCTTTGTCAATTAACTTTTTATATAATAAATTAACCATTAAATGCAAGAATTTTAAGTTTTTTGAGATCAATTATATCACATTTAAATAATGTTTCAAATTGTTCGATTCTATTTAAATAAAAACAAAAAAAGGAATGAGTTTTGAAATTCAAATATTATTTTTTTTTACGTTTTTTGATAGCGTGTCATTTGTATTATTTAATTGAACTAAAATAAAAAAAATTGTATGATATACACACGTGGGATGATCGATAGACATATAATCTTATTTGATTTGTTAAGAAATACAGTCACTTATATTATTAGAGAGATGTCGTAAGAATTGGGAGAAATGAAAAAAAAATATGATTTTTTGTTAAAGTTGTCAGAAATGATGTTTAAAATTATTATCGATCATCATTTGTACTAGTTTATGAAGTTCATATTTTAAATAGTTTGTTATATACTTATCAAGAATATAATTGAAAGCAGTTGAAGTTTGAATCGTTGATAAAAAATGTAAAAGAAGATGAAAAAAGTAACAGCTATTCTTATCTGTAATGCACAAGGTGAGACGATATCTACTAAGAAAAAAGAAAAGAATAGCAAAACAAAGTAGAGATGTAATATTTCGTTTCATGTTATACTTGACAAGTAATTTCTACTTATTGTTATCTTTCTCATTGATTCTCAACTATACATATCTTTATAAGATAGATTTTAAAGATCTATATTATAAACTGTTAAGTAACGATTCAAGGAATTGTAATTAACTATTTTCACCAGAATCTTAAGACTTTTAAAATTATCCAGAACTGACAGTTTTGTTTGGGAAAAACATTTGTATGTTTCATTCCTAAAATCTGTCAGAAAAATGCTTATTCTATATAGCATAGACAACAAAATACAATAGTTTTTTTTCAAGATTTCAATGTTACATGTTTGAAATCATTCAAATTTGTTCATAAGAAATAGATTGTTACCCACGTTGGCACCCTCATTCACAATTATCGATGATATCTGCTTCGATTTCTATTTTCTAAAATTTAAAATACTTTGAACACTTCATAACAATTTGAAAACGGGTAAGTTTTTTCCTTGATATTCAATAAAATCGAATTCATCTTTAATATACTGTATAGAGCTCATCAAGTTCTTCTTGGAAGATGTTGAGAACGGGCTCATTTCTCTGAAACTATATTAAATTTCGTATAGTATCAATTTATTTTCAGTACAGCACAGTATCTTATAATCAAAAAATAATTTATTATCAAAGCAACTGAGCAAACAACAGTTACAGGTGCAACAAACGCCAAAATTAGCATTTAATTTCCATAGACTAGAAACTTCGCCCACGCTATCCACGTAGGGCTGACCGTTGACGTGAGACGTAAAAATCGGACGTTCTCCAACGGAGGATTAAATGTTACATTAAGCCACAGGCGATTCGGAGCTGCTTCATTTATAAGTTCCTTCACCACACGCAAGCTATTTAAGCTGTCACCAGCCCAAAGAGTATGATGTGTCGGTCCATACCGATTCATTTCAACTTTAAGACGAACGCATGAAACGCGGTATTTATCGATCAAGTCCAGTTGAACGTATTGTGGGGCATAGTTAATAGAATTCCAACCAGGACCTGAATTGTTGGGATCAGTCAGGCTACTTGCTTGGTCGGCTACAGATCCATGTTGAGAGCAGTACCAGAGCAGAGGATCGCAGAAGCGAGACGCACTTACAGCGGCAGATTTGGATAGGGCCTGTGTTATATTGTAGGTGACTAGATAATCACATACATCATGGCAATCCAATTGTTGTGATGATGAATACTTGAAGAAGAAACATAGAGTAGTAAAAATAATTAAGATCGATTGCATATTTTTTATGTTACTCTGTTGAAAGACGAAGTAATATAATTATATTTTTCAAGCATCGATACCTCCTTTTATACACTCACGGATCGTGTGAAAATATTCCGAGAATATCATATGCTTTCTGAAAGGAAGTATATTTGCCTAGTCGCTAGTAATAGATTTCGGATATCAAATTATCTGATCACCAAACCACTTAGAGTGATGCTTCAGCTGTTTACAGCCTAATATTATATACACAGGCTTCATCGACTGTGTGAAGTTTCAACAGCATTACCATTATTAGTCGTGATTTTTCTCTTCCTCTCTTTTTCATTGCAAATATACTGTGGGAGCGATCAGCACATGTCAAAGCGCGTTTCTCTGAATAGTGACGAAATCGCATTAATTGTCTGAGGCTAATACATGAGTGTGTGCGTGAGAGCAAGGGTGGGAGTGTAGGTGAGGGTTTGAGTTGAAAAGGTTTACATTTACACCCAAACCTGTAATATCACATACACCAGCATTCACTCAAACCCACCCATATCCTCAAGATGGATATCATTGGCGAAGCAACCCGTTTTGTGACTACCAGCATAACTTACAGGTTCTGGAGAGAAGAGCTGTTTTTTTTCGAAATTCAGTTTGAAATCAAAAAATCATAGACTATATTTGATCATGGAAATACAAGAATGCAAGTGTTTTATGTTTGAATAGCATTATTTTGTCAGGTTTTACAAATTATAATGTATGAGATAAGAAAACCATATAATCTATGTGACAATACAATTATTTCCAACTTTCAAATCTTCAACAACATTAAATATGAGAACAGAACGGAAAAAATCCTTGGAGATCCGTTTTATCTTCATCAAAACATGTAGTAAAATTTCTTTTTGCGGATTATTTCAGTGATAGACAATCGTAAAAATACTTAACCATGTCTCGTTCGTTCTTTATTTATTACCATGAAACATTTGTCTTGATCTTCGTTGTTTTTTATAACAACATTTACAATGGTTAACGAAAGAGGCATTATCGTCCAACTCAAAAAAATAGAAAAACAAATCTTGATAGGAAGTAGAGTCAACTATAAAATGTGCTACTTTCATAGTTCTTTTATTCACAAACTTGAGCCAAGCAAGTCAAGAAACAAAATATTCGTATCAAAGGTAATGGAAAATAAGAACTCAACAGTTGCTACAGCATTCAGTAATGCAAAACGTGTTGGGCTAGTATCTGATTTCTCGAGTAGGTGTGAGTATGAGAATTAGAGAACACCCACACCCACTTACATCCACAACCTCTCACCAATCCTCGCTCTCTAAATGTGTTTTTTCCAACTTACCTTCACGGCGTAAGCAAACAAGTCTTCACTATTGCTCGATCTTTCCTTATCATAACAACGTCAGTAGAAGCAACGAGAAACTTGCTCCCACAATGATATCAATAAATGATAACAATTCTTCGCTCGGAAAAGGGACAGAACAAAACTCACCTATAAATAAAAACAAATAATATTAACGACGTATAACTTCAACAAACTCGACTTTACATCAACAGCATATATCAGGTAGGATGCTCTTCAAGACGTGAGAAAATGAGTTCCTCTTAAAACATCGTGTTTTTGCTGAAATTAAAGAATAAAAACTCGATTAGTCATTCTATATAAAGTCCAAGCACGCAAATTTTGTTGAAAATAGTGGAAAAATTAGAGATGTAATGAAAACAAAATTGAGTCGTTGAAATCCTTTCGTCACTGTGTTTCATAGATTTTAGTAATACGGCCGCTGCTTCTATAAAGTGATGAAAAAGAATTCATAACTTTTGAAAGAAAGCGTATCAGTACAAATTCGCCTAACCTTTTTCGTACGATAGTATCCCTACATGTAGACAACTCCTCAATGAAAAACGTGTGGATCAGTTGGAGACCTTTCCTCATAAGCATCGAGCCTCTGGCCATAAGTGTCCTTTTATGAAGCGGGAGCCTCGATAAGGGAAAGTGTAAAATACTTTTAATGTACTACACATGCGTTACATTCCCTATCAATTGAAGAGCAAACACATTTTTTAATGTTTGGAAAATTATAGTCAATTTTTTTTATAGAATCATACCATATATTATAAAACGAAAATCCTTGTTAATCAGATTATAAATAAGGGATGTATTTTGATTTTCTCAGTGATGGTTCTGTCTATGCAATTAAACATTCAAAATACTATATCTACCTATTGGAGGATACTATCCTTTTCCGAAAAAAACATAAATTTATTATTTTTTTCTTGTAGAATTCATATTAGTTTCGACTGGAAAAATGGCTAAAAAATATTTGAATAATGATGATAATGGTTCACAACATAACCAACGTTTTTTCGACATTGCTGGAGAACCTTGTGAAATGTTATTACCTATCCAAGGTTATGAGAAAAGGCCTGTTGTATCACTCGAAGACGCAGTTGAACCATTAGTTCAATTTGTGCCTGATATCAAGCGAATGGCATACGTAGCTAAAATGAAATGTCGCAATCCACCTGCTGATTATCTTTCAAAAGATGAATCAGCTTCAATCATACTTTATTCGCTACAATGGGAACCATACGAAGAGAGCTTTTATTATGTCTTAAACGCAACTCTTCGTGCTGAAAATCGAAAAAAATTAGTTCCGTGGTTTCTTTACTTAAAACTGGTTCTTACAGCTTTATCAAAACTTCCACCATTACAACGTACTGTTTATCGAGGAGTCAAAGGTGATATGCGCAAATATTATACAAAAGGAGAAACAGTTTTTTGGTGGGGATTTAGTTCTTGCACGACAACTATGGATGTTTTGGAAAATGACCAGTTCTTAGGTGCGACAGGTATAAGAACTTTTTTTGCCATCGAATGCATGAATGGGAAAGATATTCAACAACATTCACAATATAAAAGTGAAGACGAAATTCTTCTTCCACCTGGTCGACAATTTAAAGTTGTTTCATGTCTTAATCAATCCGGTGGTCTTTATATGATACAACTTAGAGAAACTGAACCACCATATCCTCTTCTTGAGCCTGTATCAAAAGTGAGTGTCTTTTTCTTATTTCACTGTGAAATAAACTCATTAATTGTAATCTTTTAAGAATGTTCCAAAAATATCGAAAGCTGCTACAGCCACTCCCTCACCAATTATTGCATCGATGGGGAGGTACAGTAGTTGCTTTTAATTTCATCACAGAGATATATTTTTCGAGTAGCTTTAGTCTAGAGTTTAATTTTGTAATCACACTGAAACATCTATAATTTCATATGGATTTGATGGTAATTAAAACTGTTCTGTTTCTAGTATAGTTTCGAGAATCGTATATTGCCAGTTTTTCGTTCAAACCTCTCTATTTACGAAGACAATAATATTTTTATCGAGTAAAACCGATGCTTTTTACTATTTTTCTGAGGATAAAATAGGAGTGAATAATGTTGAAAATGTCTATTTAAATGTTACTACCACGCTGAAATATAGAAATCATTGAAGACAAAATAACTATTATAATATATTAATATTTTCTTACTTCAAAAATGATATTAAAAGTTTTGTGTTAATAAAAGTATAAATAGCTGGAGAAGATTCATGAGTTTTTCTTCTTTTTGTATACATTTCTATGAAGAAATATGAGGTAATTAATATGATAATATCGGTATCGATTGTTACAATGCTTATGGAAGTTAAAATCATTCATCGTACAAAGATGAGAGACACCATATTTCGTCGTTAAAGGAATATTATACACTTAGTACGCACTGAAAGTAGTAGTGAAGGTGCTCTACTATCTTACAAAAACCTTGAAGAACTTTTCTTTTTTTCCATGTAGTAATAGAGCAAATAATGCTGTATTTTTTTGCAATCTGATCATTCTTTAACTGACATTGTAAAAATAAAATTTCCGTAAAGACCTATTCATTGTGAAATGTATCGAATGTATGTATATTTATTCGAACAAAAAGAAATGTAGAAGAATACTTGTTTTCAGAAAACTTCTGACAGGAGCAAGATATATAACTGCAATCTTTTCTGTTGAAATGAGGAAGATGAAAATATATTAAGTTTTATATTATAAAGCTCCTAGAATAGGTTTTAGCTGATCTTTCTGGAAGCAAGCTACTTTTAAATATACTGTAGAAGTTTGAATTTAAACATTTACTAGTTATCTGTAGTCTAATTGACACTCTAAGTGAATTGTACAGGAATTTCCGTAGAAATAATTTTTTCTGATGTAAAAACGGGGTTTTTCATAGTTACAAAATCGATTAGCAAACTAGAGACTTCTCACTTCAAAAAGTTGTAATATATGGTCTAATATATCTTCATCTTATTTTGTAATCGTGACAACCGTAGTTCTCTTCCTTTACCTATCAAAAATTATTCAAAAAATACTTAGCCACTTTTTTTAATGAAATAAATATAAATATAACTGTTACATTTGATAATAAATCTTTCTTTATCGAAGTTTTATTACTATGGTATTAGTTGAAGAATTATTAAATACCACAAGTAGATAGAACATTGTACACTCTCTCATCGTATTATAGGGACATAAACGTTCTTGAAGCTTTCTATCAAAAAGTGAGAAACTTTCACTACTATTTTTAGTATGTCGTAGGTGGATAAGTTTTAATAAAACAATTTTATTGATAAGATAACTAATTTTCTTCTTTTGCTTTTAGTCTGCCACTATCGAAGAATAAACCAATGAAATTAGGTACGTGTAAAAAAATTATTCGTGTTATTATTTCCTATCAAGAACTCAATACTAACAAAAATATATCAGTTATAAAATTATATCACAGCAAATAAATATTAACTAATATTTTAAGAAATTTCTTGTATGATAAGAAAAAGTTGATCTTGATATTCTATATGTATCTTCGTTATATTCGAGATGAATAAGAGTGAATATGGATTAGTGCGACTAAAAAGAAGTTTGAGCTTCACTATTATTCTACCCATACTTTCAAACTATTTTGAATTCTATAATCATTTTCGTTTAGAACAACAAGAATTTGCTACGCCTGGCACTTACGAGCAACTTACT